TAGTTTTGGTGGGGCTTTTGGTTCTAATTTGCTCAATATAATGGATTCTAGGCTTCCAAATGACAGAAGGTGCTGGTAAGAGCTCTCAGTGGGTATTCAGGATTTGGGGATGCTGCTTACCCCTGAAGTGAAAGATGGGGTATGTGGGTTTGTGTGACCCTTGCCAGAGACAGCCTTTGTTGCGACAAGGTGGGAGAGCCTGTGTAATATTCTTCCCAGCTTTCCAGGGTTATTCACCTTCGTTTGACACAAGCTCTCCGCAAACCCTCTCAGCTCTCCTTAGCGGAGAGAATCAGCAAGGGAGGTGTGGTATGGGTGGCATCTGTCAATGAAGATTTCATAGCATCAAAGTAGTAAAGTATTTCTGAGCTTGGCTAGCTTGATACTAGCTGCTGTAGGCTTTTTTTCCTACTGGAAACAAAACCATTTAAGACTATTTGGATGGTGCCTGGCCATTCCCAGTTGAGGGGGTCTCTGGTGGGATTTCTGCAATAATGATCTCTCTCAACCAGATTTTCTTTCTGATTTATTCCTGACTGCCACTTTGCACTAGCAGAGTTTTAAGTATCTCATTATAGAAATTTTACGTGGGGCAGACCTGCTTTGAAAAGCGAACAATTTTTATAGTCTTTTGTGAACTCACATGCTCCTGATTTTACCAAGGAAGGAATTGCAGCACCTTAATCCACTCTACAAAGTCTTGTGAAGGAAAGGCTGAGTGTAAAGCCAGCCAAGCTGGTAGGCAGGAGGAGAGTAGTACAACTGTGTTATGGGTGCACAGACACTGAAGAATCTTTTCTCTGAGTCCTATTTTGCAGTCTGGTACTTTGTAAAATGGCTCTAAGCTACCCATTCTTTGCAATTTTTTTTCCCCATCTCATTTGTGTTACAAAGCTGACTCCAAATTGCTTGTAGCTGTGTGCATTTTTTATATTTTCTCCATAAGAGAAACAGCATTGTATCTTGCTCTGTTCTTTCTAAAACACTTCTGGTAAAGTATTCTTAATAAAACAGTTCTCAAGTGTATGATACCACAGTTGAGATTTCTCAGTGCGTTCCCCATCTTTCCTGGGTGAGCTGGAAGGTGCAGACCTCTCACCTTGGGCATGAGGAAACCGAACTGAAGTTGGTGGGATTCCTGTGTTGGGCAATGGAGATGTTAATATAACAGTTGGTAGGTGCAGTTGTGCAAGACACAAATCGGCCGCTTAGCACAGACTAACAGAAGGATATGGAACAACCAGCCGGCGTTGCACGGCCCCTGGGAGCTGCAGTTGCTCCATTTCCTTCTCTGCGGTGGGGAGCAGGCAAGGAGATGGAGAGGAGCCAGCGTGCAGGGCGGCGAGGAGCACGCCGAGAGCAGGTGGGCTGCCTTGGGACATGCGGGCTTCTTTCTCTCGCATGAATGGTGCGAGTTCCCCGTTTTACCCCTTTTATGTCAGTAGTAACTCCCCTGGTTAGTTACTCCTCCCTAGTAAGTCCCTTCGAGGTCTTCTCATGGACTGAGCAAGAGTGCAGTGGGCAAATCGAGTGTTTGGGCTGATATCAACAGGCTGGGAATGAGTTAAGCCTGATGCTGTCCAGGAGAAATCTGTGCTTCACTATGCAGTCTTTCCCAAGATACTGTAACTCTGCTGTGTAAATCATGTCATGTTTCAGGAGGGTTCACTGCCAGGTACCAGGGCTTTTGGATAGATGGTGCCTGCCATGCATATGTCCATAAACCTTGCAAACGTTAGATTAGTCCCTCTTAACATTTTAATTATCTTAACATTATCTCTTAATAAGAAAAGTCAGGTGGTAGAATGATGGAAGAAGGATTTTGAAGGAAAAATGTGAGATGCACCTGAGCAATGGTAGTGGACCCTTTGAGCAGAAACATCAGCAGAAGCCAGGACCAAATGCAAAGCCGGAGCAAATCCAACCCCCCAGCCAAGGTCTGCGGTTTCCCTCCAGCTGTGCTGCCATCCTCCTTTGGTTGCCCACAAGTGAGAGCTGGTTTCTCCATCGTTTCCTTTACACACGTTTCAGCTCAGTAGGATTCAACCAACGTCCACAAACTGATGATTTGCTCCATAAAGTCCTTCCTCTTTGCAACCTCTGTGGGGTTGCAGCCCCAGTGAATTGGATAAATGAGAGCTGCACATCTTATTTCTTGGTAATGTTACAGTGTCATAACTGTAGGTTTGCCAGGCTTGTTTGCAGGCAATCGAGAAGGTAAATCCTCTTCCTAGATGTATCTTACAGAGCAATTGGCTTTGTCCTTCTTGGCTAGCCCGGCGGGTTCAGTGTGGGAACAACTCAGTGCCGAGTGCTCACCTCCCAGCTGATCTGCGTACAATACGTTATTAAAGAACTTTAAAAGCTGTTTCTCTGAAAAATGATTAATACTCTTTGTGCTAATCATTATAAAATGAAACATGTTTTAAAAATTAATTGTAGAATTTACTTGTGCAATTAGCAGCACAGGATTTCATGGTGAAAATCCAGCTGGCACTACATAAATCAAATTGCCCTCGCTACTTATGGAGGCTTCTGATCGCTGACAAGGCTGAGAGAAGAGGAATTTTGCCTCAATGATTAATTAAGCTTTGTGTACACGGCTTATACTGTAGTATCGCTGGAAAATCAGCAGGTTGTGCTAGCTGATCAGCCAAAAGGCATGGCTGGGCATGTCATTTGGTGGATAGCAGGCTGTAGGAGATCCCAGTGTGGTGCCTTTCTTCTTCCGTACGTACGAGCTGGAGTTGTGCTGGTGCACAATCCTGACTGAAGACTCCATCTCGAATTTATTTTGCCTTTGTTAATATACATGCTAAGCCTGAGTGAGGCAGGTTTTAACGAAGAGGCTTGAGAAACACAAAATAAAATCATCTTGCTACCTATGTCCTATCTCACGGAGAGGACAAAGCTCTGGCTGAATCCTCCAAAAGCCCTTTAATGCTTGGGGAAACAGAAGGGTGCAGTGTAGATTTGGGTTGCAGCTTTAGGCAGTTAGTCTGGGACCTTGTGGTACAAACTTATAAAATAAAAGGGATAGCAAGGAAAAGCATCCCTGCAGAACTGCTGCAGAAACAAAGCAATTCTGCATGGCCCGAGTTTGATAACTCTTTCCTGAAAAGCCTGGTTGCCCCTGTTACTTCTCCCAGCACCCTTTCCCATCACCTTGAATACTTCTAGAACTCTCTATTTTACCCAGCCCTTTATTTCCTTCCCAGAGTCAGCTACAAATTGTACTTTCCCTTCCTCTACAGCCTGTTACTGTCTTACTAGACCAAAAAGATAAAGCTGGATTTACTGATACTGTGTGCCCCAACTGCTCTGTGACCTGAAATAGAAAATGTTATTTACTTTTTCTTCCTCGCTGCTGGGTGACAGCCCCAGCTAAAACTGGAGTTTTAGCGTTTGCCCTGTGCCTCTCTCAGGCACCTGCAGGAGCATCCCGCATCCCTGCACCAAAGCAATCACCTCCTTGCGCTGCTGGAAAAACTCAGATTAAATAATAGCTGCCTGAAAAGGTTTGTGAAACCAGTCTGCGGGGACACACCAGGAAAGTGCTGAGCTGTTGCCATTAATGTACAGGTGAAAATATCACTTGTAGAGGAGCAAAGCCAGATGGAGGCTCAGAGCCCTGCTCAGTCAGCAAGGTCAGCTCAGTCTTTCGTTAGGATTTGCATGGAGAAGCGGGGGCTTGGTTGGGACCTTCCCTTTTCAAATGGGAGAAGTTGATAACTGGGTTAAAACCTGGAATTTTAACCAAGTGAAACTTAGGTGGGAGTCCTTCTTATCTGCGGGCAACCAATTTCATGACAAAAATTTTAAAAATTGGTCAAAACTGGAGAACACTAGGGACTTTTGCTGAAATGTTTCTGCTTTCACTATAAGGACAAGGCTTTTTTCCCAGCAAAGTCAAATGTATTGACTCGCCTTCAGTGTCTGCTATCTGCCCTGCAGGTTTGAGCTGTATATCTATATGGACGTGCTGATTTTTCATTCATAGCAAAATTAAAGTGGTTCCTGAGGAAGGTGAATGGGACACAGCAGGTTAAGTATTTTTCACAGATGTAGCAAATATCCTTCTGTAGTTTCTTAGAAGAAATCAATCTGTTGTCAGGACATTCGCAGCTCTCACTGAAGCAGCTTCCCTGCTTATCCGAGGCTGCAGTTGCGTTAGTAAATACGTGAGCCTGCGGCACTTGTAGAGCACTTTAGCCCTTGAGACTCCCAGTAGCAGGTTGGTAGCCATGGCCTGAAAAGCTCTGTCCTGTTAACAAGAGCTTGTTGTCCCAGGAAAGTCTTCAGCTGATTTACTAATGGAAAGAAATGCTTCACTTGGACAAAAATACACCTGGGTGTGCCAAGGCAATCCTGAAGCAGGAGTCTGGGGAAAAGGAATGCATTACTTCATTATTGTTGTTTTATGGTTTTGGCGATGAGTCCCAGGAAAGATTTGGGTTTCAGCTTTATCCAGGTTTTTTCTCCCCAGCTGCATTAAAAAAGCAGAACCCAGCCCACACTCTGTGACAACACCAAAGAAATTCAAAGCAATTTGTAGTGAAGCAGCCCTTTAATAATGTGATTTTCCATATTCAAGCACAAGTGAAATTTCTGGCTTTCTGAAGAAATCTTCATGTTTGGCTGCAAAGAGAGCAGAAAAGTCCAAGAGGAGTGAGCTGCAGCACGGCTCACTGCGGTGCTGCCGAGCATCGAGGATCCATCGCCTCCCAGCCACTCGTCCGTTCCCCACCGCTTCAGCCTTCATCTCCGACTGCAGTGATGTGCAGGATACGATAACAGCTTTAAAGCATGTGTTATACCTTACTCTGAGTGTTTATGTTCACATAACCACCAGCATTTTGTTCAGGGATACTTTTTAGGTGGAACCACTGTTTGAGGCTCAGTGGCTTCCACTTTACTAGAGTGACTACTTATGCCCGAGTAATTTAATGATTACTCAAATGGGGGGCTAAAGGTTTTGCCCCTGACGTGCAGCCTCCCATTTACAGGTTGGGAGTGGGATCTGTTAAGTCACAGTTCTGGATATGGACATGGGACATAATTCCCTGGTAGACCCTTTGCATAGGCAGCATGACGCCAATTTTCTCTCCCTTCTTGACGAGGCCGCTGTACTTGACGGGTTTGATGTAAAACATCTTAATGCAGAATCCTGTTAACAGGGAAGAGAGAACAGGGGGAAAATTGCTCCTATGAAATTATTTTAAAGCCTGGCACAGTCATAGCATTCAGTAGCAAAATACAAATGACAATAAAATGATAAGAGATTCAGCAGCAGGAGGAGTGACAGAAAATGCTGTGATGCTCCTGTAGCATCAAGAAGAGTGAATGGGAAAAGAAAAAAATTAACATGGATGGTGGGGAAGGGGGTTAAGGTGGGTTAAACTGCACAAGCAAGTCAGAGGCTGTTCCCTTAATTATTCAAAATGTGCAAAGGGGCCAGCTTCATCCTTTGACTTTTTAAATACAGGTGAATGCTGCAATACTTCCAATCAATTTTCCTGCATTAGCAGAACCTGGATTTCAAAATTGCAGTTTTCACTTGGAGTCACATGCAAGCACCCTTCAGTTTGGGGTGGATTAATGATTTTTGGCTCAGTTTAAAGCTCTATAAATGAATCGGAGCATTTTGCAATCAGGCTTTGCAAGATGCACGTCTTTCAGCTCTGGTACCTGATCCTGAAAGCTGGACTCCGTTGTCGATGGCATTGCCGTTTCCGTAGGGCTTGGTTTGTCTGTCGATCTTCGCCAGGAAGGGTGCGTACACCACCGAGCCGTCCTCGCACAACACATCCACTCCCCTGTGCTTCCTCCCTCCTCTGAAGAAGAAGAAGAGCAAGGTGGGTTAGCCTGTGGTGCCACCTAGAAACCCTCCTCTTGCCCATTTTTTCATGCTTATTTCTATTTTAAGAAAGTTTCAAGTGCAGCCATCTCCCATTATCCCAGCGTAGGACCTGGGGTTGTTATATCCACCGCAGCCCTGGGCATCGCAACCTCTGATTTCGTTTGTGGGGTGACTTGAGCAGATTCTTGCCCATTTTTCTGCAGCAGCTAGAAAACAAGAAAAGAGAAAAACAGAAGATGAAACCCACAAGCTAGAAAAGGGATTTCCCAGCCCATGTTGTTTACTCAATAGCAAGGTCCCTTTGGATTTTGCTGTACCCATGGATCAGGCTTCAGGGAACTAGAAAGTTGTTTATCTTTTAATGCAAGTTAATTTTAGGGATGCAATGAAACAGAATTTTTTTGGTTTATGCTTTGTCCAGTGATGTTTCAGGGTACCTAAAAGCAGCGACTTCAAAGCAAAAATGCAGAACAAATAGCTCTGGCGGGGACACCATGGAGTGCCCCACTCCGCTCCCATTGCCCCAGGGCAGATGAGCTGTGCTGCGTTCCCATGGCAGGCGTGGGGCTGGAGCTACCCGATGTCTCTGCCTGGAAGGTGCCCTGAACCACCCAGGAGCTTGGGATACTGAACTGTCACTGTGAAAAACAGAGCCCTGAGAGAGCCCTGCCAGGTCCATTCCTAATGTGGCATCCAGTCAAAAATAGAAGCTGTCATCTATCTTTTACTAATTGCGTTTCCTATCTCCCAGTGTTTCTAAATTACTGTTTCAAAGTGGTAGCCAGTAGGCTAACATCCTCATATTTTTTTTATTCCAGACTGCAGCTATCATCACCCAGAGCCAAACCCAAACGCAGGCGGATCCTACGGCCTCAGTGATGTCTGAGAGAGGGAAGACATTGATCAGGGAGAAGGGAGGGAAAGGCAACCCCTGACTTGGTACCTTCTACAAGCCTCTAACAGCCCTGTTTCCCCCCAAACTGCTGGGGTCTCGCATGGGATGTTTTAGCAAGAATGGGGCTGGTCTAGCCAGAAGGAACGAGTTGAGGTTTATTCGTTTCTTGAGCAGGCACCATCCCCGTTGGGCTCTGGGAGTACAGGCAAACAGGGGAAATGATGTGCTGGCACTGAAAGTCTGGTGCTAAAAGAGTGCAGGAAATCTCTAATGCCTTCCTCAAGCAAAACAGCCCTTTGTTCTAGGTAGTCTTCATTTATTTTAATGAATTGTGTATTCTTGGTGAAATCAAAGGTGGTGACATTAAACACAGAAACATCTCTGGGAACACTCTATGCTCGGCTGGCTGATCTTTAAGTAAAAGGCTTTTAAGAAAACATGCATGCTGTTAGTAATTGATATGCCTCAGCTGAATCTTTCTTATTCAATCAACATTATTACTCCAACAAAATTTTGCCACAACTCTTTATCATATCTAAAAAGGGTTTTTCCATGGAGGACTCCATGCAGTGGGAGAGGGCTTATTTTCAACAGCAAAAAATGGCAGAGAATAAATCAGTTCCTAAATCCTTACAGATACATTTCATCAAAGAAGAAAAAAAAAAAAGGAAGAAGAAAGAAAAAGAAGGCAGGTTATGATAAGCAATGTTTGCTAAAATTCAGCTAACTCACCACTGGAGACTGCAATTGCGAGGACGAGGATGATGGCTGTGACTCTGTGCATTTTCACGTGCCTTCAGAGCTCTGCTTTCAAAGTGAAAGGTCTAAAATACTTTGCTTTCTATTTATACACCTCAAGAGAGGCTGTATCCAAATTTTTCCAGCCAATCAGAAAATTTATGTGGCCTCAGCTCTTTTGCTTGCAGATTCAGGCCAACAGCAAGAACTGACAGCAGCCCTCGAGTTGTACCACCAGCCTAGCTAATTGGTAGTGCAGAGGCTCCAACCTATTTAGCAATAGCAGCTACATGGGTTTTTTTGGGTTTGTTTACAATGAAACCATGAACATTAAACCCAAATTTTAAGGACAATTTCTAACTATTCCTGCCTGTTGTGCAATCGTGAAGTTTAGCAAGATAACTTCAGTGGAGAAGGGGAAAAGACTTTAAATAAACTTAAAAAAATATCTGGTCAGATGGATACCTTGCCCTCCCACCATGGCTGTTGCTTCAAGGAAAGAAATTCAGCCAGGTAGATACAGCTCTGTGCCACGCATCACACCCAGCCTCATGCTGGAAAAATTGATTAGGTGACCCATGAAATGAGAGCTTTGCACCCCATTTTTATTAGCTGGCTTCATTAGTGCATCCCAGATATTGCCATGTTGCTGCTGCTGAATCTTCAGCATTCACAGTGGGAAAGACACATGTTTACAATCTTCACTGTGCCTGAACAGAAAATGTTATAAACACTATAATATTGTGGCTGAGCAAAATTACAGGAAATTGAAGACGAAGAGAACATTGGAGCACGCACAAGGCCACCTCGAGTGCTGTTTCTGGGAAGGGAGGGAATGCAATGCCCTGGTTTACAGCCAGGAGCTGAAAGTTGTTTGTCTTCTCGGCTCTTTGGCCGCCCGGTTTGTGCCACCGGGAGCCACTGACCATTTTGTTTCTCTGCCTAATTAAAAATTGAGAGCCCAGGTTAGATATGGCTCCGGGTCAGGGCTCTCAGCCAGGAGGCTGTGCCCTTGCTGTTTCTCTTTCATGGCACTAGATGGGTGAAGACTGGCCTTACATCCCAAAACAGAACCAAGAGCAGTTCTGCTGCACAAAATTCAAACCCTATCTTTGCTGGAGTTGGAAACATCAGCTACCGGTGGATGCCGCTGAACAGAAGTTGTATTTCATGGGAAAAGAAAGTGATCCCATTGGGATGGCTTCAAGATACACGTGCTGCCTTCTCCTTTCCCCTTCTCCCAGCAAAGTGTCATCCAAGTATGTCACTTAGGTCTGTCAAACAGAAACAGTGACAGGGTCATAGCTCGGCTTGCACAGAGCCAACACCTGAGCCCAGCTGACGCCTGGCTGGAGTGGGCTTCTTTGCCTGGTGGAAACCATGTGAGATGCTGCAGCTCCAGACAACCCACTGCAAATCAACAAGAGCAGGAGGAGAGTTGTGCTGGTCCCACTGCACGAGGGGTTTTAAACCTGCTCCTGCCTTCCCGTACCCCGCACTCCCATTTGAATCCCTGCATGATTTTTGTCTCCAGAAGAAACGCTCCTGATTTACTGTTCTCCCGTTCATCAGATGTTATATGTAGAGAGGGGAAAAATCTATTTGACAGTAACACTTTGAAACAGTATGTTTAGACAGAGTATGTAGGGGAAAAAAATGACAGTACCTAGCTCTCTGCGCAATACTTCTTGTGCCCAGGGCTCAGCTAAACCAATCCAGATAAAATTGCATTATCTTAAATTCATTTTGTTAATAACTAATTTTGTTAGAGACCTACTGATCAAGATCAAAGAGGAGAAAAGAATGAACGAAGTAATTGTGTGCATTTCCTCAGAAGCTCAGAAAATGCACTTTTTTTCCTAGTTCTGTTACTAATAAATATCCTGCAGGCTAGATACTTTCTCAGTTTCAAGTTGCACAGAGCTGAACGTACCATGGTGAGATGCAACGGGAAAACCCACCAGCTCCAAGGGCATTCCTCAAACACAACAGTAAGGTCCCTTGGCCATCGGCCCATGCCATCTCTGATAGTTCTCTGACCCACAAGAGAGCAGCCACAACAGCTATCTTCTGCCCATGTCCTAAATTAGTGGTGTCACCAACACACTTGGCCATGCAGACTGTAGAAAATGTGCACCTCCTCTTGTGTCACACTGGGAAATTGGGGATAAGAGCTTTTTGGAAATCTGGATTCCCAGGTTGCATATTGGTTTCGCCAGGGTCTTTTAATAATCTGTTGCCCTGCTGCCCTAGACTGCAAAGGTCTGCAAAGCATGGCTCCCTCCACCCCTCCGTGACATTTTTAGCTTTGATTTTTCTAACCGAGTTGAAAAGGTTTTACAGAGTTAATTTGATGAATTAAACATGGTAAAGACTAAATTATTTGCTGACATTTTATGTTATACCCTGAGATAAAGATCAGGGAGGTAAAGAATAATTAATGTAGATTTTGTGTGAAATGTCCAAGAGCAGCAGATGTTTCGTTCATCTTCTCTGCGCCCACCACGCTACATTTCATGGGGGTTACAGCCTTATTCTGCGTCTGAACAACACTCCGAGGACTGAAGCAATGCACGTAACCTACCAATTTCTTCACATTTTCCCTGTTGCTAGCTGTAGCCAAAGTTTGGCTTTTTTCTTTGCAGAAAACCCGGTTGCAGAAGGATGGCAGCGATTGGCAGTTACTTAATTTTACATTGATGGCAGGTGCGTGAAAAAGTTAAAGCAGGACAAGAGGAGCAAAACTAAGGGCAGAGCCTGGGTGATGCAGGCAATGAAGGGCTCCTTCGTTGGGGAGGAGATGGGGAAACCCTGTGGGAGGTAAGTGAGGGCTTTTCCTCATCTCACATGGTGCTGGGAGCCACTGAGAAACAGAGGTAAAATATGTGTGGGGGAAGTGGCAGTAGCTGCAGAGCTTAGGTAGCAGGTATGTCTCAAGGGGAAAAAAATAAAAAAAAAGCCTAAATGCTGCAGCTTTGTAGGTTTTGCAGGATACCCTGTGGTTTAGGAATACCTACTGTGCTGCCTTTAGGGGTAGCACTGGGTGAGGTGGGTGTCTTGTTTGCAAAGGGGTGAAGAAGTAGCAAAATGGTAAACTACTCAATATGCAATTAAGCACCACAGCACAATCAAATCAAATGTAATTCAAATAAGATTAAATTTAAAAGACAATGACATTAAATCCTAGCTGCAAAACTCATCAAACTCACTCAAAGCAATTTCCAAAATTGTAACCGTGCTGGGATCTAATAAAGTTTTCATTAAAGAAGAAGTGTTTGGCTCAGCCTGTCACTTAGCAATAGGAGGTTTTTATCTCTGTTACAGAAGGGATGCAAATAGCCGTAATAGTCTCCTTTCTGTTTTACCGAGTACCAAGGCAGGATGGAGTTTGTTGGTGATGCTCTAAAGGCTGTGAATTCCCAAGTAACTTATGCTAAAAGCGCTCTTTGCTCCTCTCTCCCACCCCTGCAATTTTGAGCTTTTGGTAACACAGGTACACTGAAGTTCACAGCCTGCTCTGGTTTTTGCTGTGCTGGAATTACGCGACATATAAACCCAACAGACAGGAGCTTTCTCTGTTTTTTTTTTCTGTTCATCAGTTAGTATAACCTGAAACACCTAAATATGCTTAAAAGACCTTCAGATTCAAATAGAGGGAAATCCCTGGTATGGGTAGATTGCAGTAAGAAGAGAGGGCAGTTTGGTTACCTAAATGTCAGGTTTGGGAAACATCCAGGTTTTGCAAGATTCTAGTTTGATTTCTAACGTGAAATTAAGGGAAGTAAGCCCCGAGGCATGGTACTGTAGATGTCTATTAGCAACATTTTTTTTTTATTTTTTTTTTCGTGGTGGCAAATGCCACATGAGCTATTCAAGGAGGTGATGAGCTGTAATCCCATGTGCCAGCACACTTTCTCTCCTGCTGTGCTGGGTTGCGTTGCCTGTGTTTCATAGAGATTGCTGAGTGCGTAAGAAGGGCCTGAATGAGTCTAAAAGCTGTTTATGTGAATAACAACTTATTGCTCCTCTTAATTATGCTTATAAAAAAAAATATTGGAAGAACAGGGCTTTCTAGAGAGCACTCTGGTGTCCAAAAGCAGCTATTTCATCGGTCTCCCCTTCTCTAATAACATCTTGGACCTTTAAAGAAATAGGAACTAGTTTATCACCAAAAATTCTTTTTTTAATTTTTTTTTTCAGAGGGAAAACATTTTTGTTGTTGACATGTAATGGATTCCTGAAATGCAGCATCCAGCTGGTCTAATGGGCACTGAGGGAAAGGATGGTAATGAAACCCAATTTAACTAATGAGTATAATTTAGAGAAAGACTTTATTGCAGAGTTTCGTGGGAAATAGTTTAGAAACATTCAGCCTGTGGAAAAGAAGGGTTTTGTGGTTCCTCAAAAAGCCTTGCTTCAATCTGTAAAAACACATAGTGGTTTTTTATTATTTAATGTGAGCAACTGAGGATGCTGTGTGCAAGCATGAAAACACACTTGTCTCTCTGCTGCTTCCCTGGCTGATGGAGAGCTACCTCTGGGCTGGCCCAGGAGATGCCCCTCCAAACCCCTGCAAGGTGCAATTTGTGACTCTCTGCACCCAGCCTTTAATTTAGGCCACAGTTAGCTTTAAACCCTGCAGTTTACTGTGCAGAGCTGCCTGTTGCCTTCTTGCAGAAGGAAATTTCTTTGGGGTCCTGAGTCCCCGTCAGCAGGGCAGGGTGCAATGGGATGAGCTGCACAGCCCCATGTCCCCATTTCTCCCCGCTGTGGTGCATCAGCCCTGAGATGCTCCTCCTGTCCCAGGGTAATGGTCACTCTCTGTGTATTCTCCATCAGTGGCCTTGTCTCTGCTCTTGTCCTGGTGCTGGGTTTGGGAGTATCTTGGGATGGTTTTTTTTTCTTCCAAAAACACCCCTGTGGAGCAAGAGCTCATCTTGGCATGGCTGAGCTCGTCTTGGCACAGCTGGACTCATCCAGGAGAAGCCTGTGGAAACCTGGTCCCAGCCAGGTCTTGACTTTAGGCATCTGAGCAACAAGGAAGGG